TTGTATTTTTGTTAAACAAATAATATTATACAGTATAACGTAGAATTCGATAAAATATGAAGTACTTACACGAACACTATATTATCGGATTTTACAAATATTATTATTCTCAGTGCACCCGAAACGACTTCCAACTTTTTTTTTACTGCCTCCTGATTATTAGGACACATGTAAAATTAATTATTTTGTGTATTTTCTATTAGCTTTTTATCGTAACGATGTATAGCCCAACAATTAAATAACATTTATTAAATTTTGGTTACTTGTACAAAGAATTTTAAAAATATTTCTTAGTTTATTTACTTAAATATATATTATAATGTTTTTACTATAATTACTAACAATACTCATAATGTCTAATCATACAAGCGTAATACAAATTATATTGATTTTACATTTTTAACCTTAACCTTAACCTTATCGGAAGACATTCGTGGGACCGATAGGAAGCATTCTATGTATACCTGTATAGATTTAAATAGTATTTCAAAAATAACATTAACTTAATTCGACCATGACCGCAAACTTGTACAACCTATAAAGCAACCATATTTCAAGCTAAATTATGGCAAAACATTTTTATCGAAATTCTTATCGTTACAAATACTTTACCAAAGATCAAACTGAACGATAGGATAGAATAATAATTCATTATTTTGATGTCAAACAACGCACATTTGCGTTGAACAGTAACGGCGTTTGGTAGCGACATAACAAAAATGACTTACTCGCAGAAAGCAATAAAATAAAAAGCATCCGACTGTATAATATAGCGTTAGTCGTAGGGCTTTGCAAAACGTTTAACCTTGAATGTGAAAATGTATAAATACTCTGAGCGCGACTAGACCGTGGTTAAAATGCAGCTGGAATTTCACACGAGTTTCCCCTAATGCATCCATTATTCAGGAAGATGCGCTGTGGGTTATTCGACTTGTGCGTGGGTATTAAAGAAAATTATTATAATGGCCCAAGATTCATGATAAATTACACGGATATACTACATGACAGCTATGACACGGCGAGTTTTTTCTTTTTTCTTTGTTTGTTATTATCCAACCGTTGTTGGATACCTACTATTTGTCAAAGGTCCGTTTGTTATTATTGATTGTGTTAATACTATATAGAGGGTCGGTGGTAGCTGTTGTACCCTTACGGTCGACGTACAACAATAGAGTATGTCTATAATTATTATTAATATTCGTTCGACTTGCGCAGAAATCTGCGAAGGGCGACAAGTTGTATTTATATACGTTATCTTGAAAAAAAAACTATTTATAATAATTTTAAAAAAATTTGACATTTCGCGACAGGAAGCTAATTTATTCATGTTTTCTTTCCAATTCGGCACGAGGTGGCAAAATCATTGGTTTATAAACGACTCACGGTCAAGACTAAAAAAAAAAAAACATTACTATACAGATGTAATGGTTTCCGTTACTACGTGTAGGAAGAAATGAAGCTGAACATAAAAATATTACAATAACGATAATTTATTATACATTCACACGCCTTAATATAAAAAATAAATATGCTTTTTTATCTCTAATACATGTAGACTAGTCATGAGAATTTAAACCAGCACTTAACTTAATTTTTATTCTACCTACTGATTTTAGCGGTCAATCGCTAAAATCAATGACTGTTGAGCAATTGGTATTTTTTAAAAATATTGGTATTTTTATGAGCCATTAAACATTTGCTAAAAAGCCAATGTAATAGATAACATACGTCGACCTTATTGCTCGATGTAACTGATTTGCATGAGACTAACAAATTGCGCTACAATAATTTATTTCTACTTATCATAGTAAAGTATAAATAATATTGTAATTGGTCTTTATTCTTTGAACAAATAGGTAAGAAACAATAAATTACAAATGTTGCACGACAAAAACTCATTTGAGTTGTACTTGTTCACCAAAAAAATTGATGGTAAATCTTTGTATTTTATTTTATAGTTTAACGTTACACGTTTGCATACTAATTGACACGCGCGATACGCTTGTTTATTTCTTTTTTACTTTCATCGTTAAAAAAAAGACAAAAAACTTCAACGATTCCTTTCAGCGATATTATTTTTAACCAAGTCGGTACGCAATTAGCTAATGAATTTGTATTATGCTGTTATTATCATATTATAACAAACTTCATTATTAATAACGGCTAAGAATAAACTTTTGGTACTGTCATTTTAATAGTGTGTGCGCCTATCGACGATGGACCTCGTGCGAAAAACAATTACATATTGAGTTATGCATTAAATAAAGAACAGTAAAAACAATATTGTTATAATAATAGGTATATGCAACATTAGAAGATTACTTGAACACTTTACATTGTGTACGCTGTGTACGCTTATTGCAGTCATCGTCGCGTTATTAATCTATTTTCCGGTGAAACACTATAGGGTAAGTAATGAGGAAAAAAACACGTTTGGTAATGAGAATTACAATCGAAAGTTGTTTTTTTTTTTTGTAAATATGTGTCGCATATACCGTCATATTACAATGTACCGAGCTCGGGGAATACCTTGCGCTCTGCTAAGCATGAAAAGTGCTCTACAAACAATATAATGGAACCACCACTGGGTTGGGGCTTACGAGTCGAATATTATAGTTTGTTCAGTGGTATATGGCCATTGTGCGATTACCTGTACACGACCAAAGTTAATTGTCAGGCGTGGGCCCAGATACGGTTTGTGTGTTTGCGGCTGACGAATTTCCTAATTAAACGCAGAGGTGGCGCGTTGATAATCCAAATCGATTTCAGCCGTCGGTAGCTTAGTAGATGGGTCCTTGAAAATAAAAATACAATACAATGTGCACTCAAATTACTGCTTCGTAAAACACAACGGGTAAAAGAACATTGAAGAAATTCGCTGACGATTTTGTTATTGCAATTATTGCATCTATTTTATAAAAATAAAAAAAGTCTATGCACGCATCTGATTAATGAATTCGAGAACATAATTCAATAATCAGAAGCTTATCTGGAAAAACAAAAATCGTTGAATTCGATATTTAATGCAACTCATCAGTAATTGTTTATCGTGAAGTTTACAGTCTTTAATAAGTACAATTAAGAACAGCAAGCATATTTTAAAAGATTCAATAAAATTAAAAATATAGGTACAAAAAAAAAAATTAATTTGTTGTTTGTCCGCAAAAAATATGTATTTTATAAGAAATATTACTTGACGTCACATTATGTAATAACGTTTAAATATTGAATAAACGGACGCAGAAAACAATTATTGTTTCAAAATATTATTTACTTATCTTTTGAAACGTCTGTCAGTCATGATAATAATATAATATTGCTAAACACTGTAATTGACTTGTTAAACGTGAATAAAAAGAACATAAAAAAGTGATAAACATTGATTGTGGTTAATTATTATGACAAAATTATTATGATTAATTATTTAAACATAGACGACCTTGTCGATTTGATTAATAGAATTACCTGTCATTGCAAAATATTAAATGACCAAATATAATTAACATCAATTATAATTTATAATTGTTTCATATGCAACTAACCGGTCAATTAATGCATATTTCATACTGAGAATACAATTATAAATATTTATTATATACAAAAATATGTCTTTTATCTATCAATTACAATTTATAGATCTAGTTCTAGATTTTCGTTTCCATTTCAAGATCGCTCTCTACATATTATTTTATTCTTCAGAAAAAACACACCAGCAATTTATTAAACAATATATAATTCTATGTATGTTTATTATACAGCTAGTCTGAAACTTTGTTTAATTTATATTTTCCCTCGTATAAATGTATTGAATATTTGTTTACTATAATACATTAAGAGACACGTACGTTTGCTATTTATCCGTCAAGTATACTTAATCTTGTGGCATTGATGTAATAAAGTACATCAAGACGGACCCCTTTTTAAAGACGCCCTTTATTGAATTACATTATCGAAAACAGACAATAATTTATTAATGTTATTCTATCAGTTGAATAAAAATGAGCATACAGCTCGTAAAAATAAAGTTTTCTTCTGTTAAACTGTGATCAATGTTTAAACAGAAATAAATAAAAAAGTTTGAGTAGGTTTTTAAAAGGCTGTGGTTTTTTTTTTGTGCCTGCAGTCTGTACCCAATATTATTTGAACTACTGGAATGATTTAAATAAAGTCTGCCACTTTAAATTTAAATGTGCTCGAATTCATGCTATTATACATTTAAGTAATAATTACATTTTTGTACTCAGATCCCTTTATTTAATCTAAAATTGTATTTACTATTGAATAGAAATATATTTTACATGAAATATACTGGTTAAAACAATTTTTCTAATCCACATTTTTTAGCGTATGAATGCAACCTGCAAAATAATACCAATACATTTTCGTGCGTGAATAAAAAGTGCAATATAACTTGGTCTTTCTCGCCGCTTAACCTTAACCTTATAATATGTGCACAAATAGTCTCGCCATCCATATTCATATTATATCATTATCGAATACCTTTCATCGCCATTGTCACACATTCACCGATCAGCACCTATAGAATACAATATGACACAATAACTTTGTATATTAAGTTTCTAAGATCCATCAACGGCATACGTCGATGTGGCATTTTACCACATATTGTTTTTTTTTTACTTCTTCTTGACACGGTAAACTCTTTTAACTGCAGCCTTACCACACGGAAGCTTATGGAGACCGCATACCTATACATAAGCGGACACAGAGCCAAAGAGGTTCGCTGTATAGCTAATTATTGCTATATCTTTTATATTATAAAACAAATTACATTATACACTACATACTGCACTGGCCGGTGTTAGTAGGACCGTGTGTGTGTGTGTTTTTGTAACACGTCGCTTCTGTGTTATAGTTACAGGAATTACCGTGGCGTGGAATTCGTCTCGGCTGGAAAAATTAGCTTTCTCGCCGTATTATCAAAAAGTAATTATACAAATTATGGTTCATTAACCGTGTGCGTGATGCGTGTGTTCCAGACGGTTCTCTGTCCTGCCGCATCCCAACGGTGGTAAGCCACCGGTCGTGGCCACCGTGCGTATTATGCTCTCCTACATGGCTCCATCGGTGAGTGACAAGCCTCCAACGGTGCCCAGTCGGTTGGCGCTGGAACACAAGACGTCGGCGTACCACAGGTTCAGCAGGCCGCCGTCAATCACGTTCAACGATGGACAGCGCGAGGGCTTCGGCGCCCTGCCCGCGCCCATCAAGGGCAACATGGTCAAAGAGGACAGCACCAACAGCATATCGTCCAGCGTGGACCTGTTGCCGGCCACCCACGACAACAAACGACTGACCAACAAGCCGGCCACGTTAAAGAGGTCAGTGACGCCTTAACAATAATATCATATGTTAACAGGCTCATAGTTTGTGTACCTAACGACTCGTTAACTATGGGACTGTTGACTGGCAGGAACATTTAGTATTTAACTACATATTATATGTTTAGTCACTATAGCCCTATTTGGTACCGTATTTTGGTGTTCTTCGTTTTAGGCTTCTTGTGATGTTTCTTAACCATTTAGTTGACCGCTTTTAGTTTCCTCTCGGGTGACCACCAGAGATAGGCAAAGAAGTTATATTAGGTTGATACCGGTTACAAGTCACGATTATACTAGATTGGGCGACTGTCCAAAGTGTTTCAAGACGTATAGCAAATTGTAAATCTAGTGTATACAACAAGAAGTTGTTTCTAGGTGTAATTTTAGTGGCGCATTTTGATTTAGGGCTGTAACATTTTGTTCAACTTGTATCAATGACCACCTCTGATGACCGACCACCAAACCTTCTAATCTAATTGTTTAGACTTGATAATGTACATGCTGCTATCTAAAAAACAAAAAATAAATAACAAATAAACATATTTAGAACTATCCCGTTGAATCCACAAACCTTCGTTGTTCATACATACTACTAGATCCGATTATAGTCAAGCAACGTCGCACGTGTGTGTTATTGCCACTCGTTCGTGACATTTTTGTAAATCGGTTAATTATTATAGCGTCACGTAGTATCGCAGTCGATACTATTAAATACTGACTATCGAGTAAGCCTATTACATTTGACTTAAGTCAATACCGTAACCATAAATGTATTTCAGAAGGGAATGAGCTAAATATTCAAGACGACATTCTTAACCTTAGTTATGAAAAAATCTAAAATTCACTAACTCACAGCTGGTACCTCTGCAATGCTAATCGTCCCTTTCCTTCTTATAATAATCATCTTAAAAATAACTATTTCCTGGTCTAGCGGATCATTAATATATATGATGCTATTATTTTTTTTTCATGAAAACAATTATAATCAAAAAATAAGGGAACGAACCACAAGTTTGACGCTATATTTTACCAACTTATGAGGTTTCCCATTACTTGGTCTATGTACAGCAAGCGTCGATTCCCATACCGCATACGAGTACAATCCATTATGCGTTTTTAATACTCTATTATAGCAATAGTAATAATAATAATAATAATAATAATAGCAATAATACCAAACGATTTATGGTTTCTATGCTACATTTTATGTGTACTTACTAATCGTTGTGTTGGGTCACGGTAACTACTGCTGTAGCACCTGTCAGCTAAAATGATTAAGCTTCGAACTACAAAACACATTATATGATATGCGTAAAGGAAATACTAGGCATTTATGCCGGAAGTTCTAAAAAGTGCTTATTGTGTTAGTTACAAATTTACTATTTGGAATATAAATTCTCAATATTTCCTCTTCGACTCCTGAAAACTGAAAAGGTATTGATTTTACATTAATTTATTTATTGATTTGAGAAAAAACAGTTAAAAAAAATGTATAACATTTTTACTATAAATATATATTGGTTTATGAATTATGAGTTTATATATTCATAAATTTAATCTCAGATTTCATGTATAATTTCTTTTTTGCAAAATGAACTGCTTAAAAACACTAAGCGCTAATGATGGTGCCAAATTTTGCAGTTCTTGGCACTATTCTTTTATTTATGCGCCAATTGTTATTTAAAGGTTTCTCAATATTAAAATTATTGCGTATATATTAAACTTACGTTTACATGCTAATCTAAGCATACAATTACATAGATTACCCAAGTTAGATTTCTATTTATTTGTGTATTGCGTGTACCTGTTGATGAATTGCGTGTACTTGTTGATTATTCAATTTACAATAACAGTTATTATCTATTCATATTATTAAATGAGTAAATTTTATAAAAAAAAAAATGTATTAATATTAATTTATTGTTAATCTGTTCATTTATACCAAAGCGGCTCACAGATATTATACGATTTTCATCAAGTCATTTATTTTTAAGTTAAATGCAACATATTACAGTTGACGCACACAAAGAAGAATGGCGGTTACAGAGGGGTGTACGAAACAAATAAGTTTTCCCTCTGTAAATACTTTATTACATGTTTAGGGGTTCCGGCTCCGAGGGGTCTTAAAACTAGGCGGTAACCATGAGGGTGCAAATCCTTAACTGCTTTTTGGCTTTTCCAAAAATGCATGTATTCATTTTTTCAGTGGTTTATCAAACCGAGAAGAAAATGTACTCAAAAATTACTCTTTTCAAATAAATTAAATCGCGAAAATTCGAACATTTTGAACAGAAAACTACCCGTCTTGTCAGAAATACCATAATATTATATTTAACATTGATATATCTGATTTTAATTGTAACTATTTTTAGATAGACTAGAGAACATTTTACCGACCCCTACCAGTGCCCTATGTTCTTAGTTGTGTAGAACAATTTTAATCTTTATCACATTACTAAGGTGGGATATCTGACGACGCATCACAAAAATTATAAAATATAATTTTATAGATTACTAAACTGAAGTAAGGAAGCTTTTTTGATTAGTCTTCAGTTATTTAATTATTGATAACATAAATACAAATATATTATAATTATTACATAAAATAATAATAATAACCTTCTCAGCTCAGCTTGGCATCTAAGCTAAAAAATTGAATGCAAGCTCTATAGAAATTACTTACACAATTTTCAAATTATTCTAAGTTACCTTGTTTCACAAATTTATTGTTACTATTTTCAACAGGCAACGTTATAAATAACAAGTGTGTCAAAACGGTGTTGATTATTTAGAAATATTACCTAGATAGATTTGTTTCACATAAAAACAGCTGAGTAAAGTTTATAGGTCATCACACGAATTTAGCTTACAATGTACTTAAGATACAAAATAATATTTGTGTATGTAGTACAGTTAGTTAATCTTGGTACAGGGCAAGGTTAACATGTTATTATTAATTTATCAATCTTTTGCCAAGGCAAATGCGGTAATGGAAACTCGACACGCGAAAACATACAACCTTATCATACAATGATTTTCAATTAGGTAAGGTATACGTACAGAGATATACAATTAATTAAATGTGTACTGATTTTTTTTATATTTATTTAAACGGTTATTCTATATAGTATAATGAAGTTAACATTTCTGAGAATGTTGTTCTAACTGATTTAAAGGTTTTTTTTAACTAAAATGTATAAGTAAAAGAGATTAAAAATAATTGTATCAACATTAACGCTATTTACTATTTACGCTATTCTTATACTTTTCTACTTTACATATACCTACAATACCTATGTATTATGTTTGTAGTTGACATGACTGAATAAATAACACTGTTAGCTGAATATTTAGTTGGATCAACTTTGATGTTTGGTAGGGTCAAGTAAAAAATACTTGGTCGTCACTTATACAACCGATTTTTGGTAGATGAAATCAAATTTGTTTTTTGTTTAATTCCTATATATAATTATTAGCTTTTTAAAAATAATTTTCTTTTAAAAACGCTAAAACAAAAAAATTATTCATCAAGTATAGTTCAAATACATAACTACTGGCTCAAGAATACATTTCATCATTACATACGGTATGAGAAAATAAATAAAGTTTGACAACAAAAAAAAACTATCATTCGCCCCGGGACGTGTTGGTGGTGTGTGTTATATCGATTATCAAATAAAAGGGGACCTAATTTCTTGTTCAAACAAACGTCGGTTAAAATTATGTTTAGGTTCCTAAGATATTAATCTAGATGATGAGCTTATAGTAAAACTATCGTTTATTTACTACAGCTTAAGTACGGTGTTAGCAAATTCCGTTTAGCCAACTATAACTTATTTTTATAACTTTTGAGTATATTATTTTTTTGCCGACTTAATCTTCGCTGTAAATACTACGCTTCTACTTGTATATATTTTACACGCTGGCGCTTATGTTTGAAATTGCGCAACAACAATATTTTTTGCGCCGCTTTTTTAAGCTGCCTTCCCACGCAGATACTCATCGCCCACGGAACACGTCATCAAGTAACCGTGACAGCTTTATTTCGGACCCATCTCTCCCCATAAAATCTGCCAGGAATCCTAAAACGACCGTCGGCTAATTTACACACACACACACGTATAAATATTGAAAATAACGCGCTGTCGCCAAAACAAAAAAAACGTTTTTCATAAGTATATTAACATAGTAAATCCAGTGGCGTCCACTTGGCGTGAATTTTCGGTGGCGGTAGAGGCAGACTAAAAACTAAATCTTTCAAATCTATTTCGGCTAGTATAAAGTACAATGCAATTTAAAAAGCTGATTTTTGGGAGAAGAAAGGAATGCAAAATTTAAATGCCACTGGCCGACAAGCAAAGTAGAAGAAGAACTAAAAAGCCCAAGTCCTGTGATGGTGTTTGGGCGTTAAGTGAACATAACGATACTACAGTGGAGTACGTTTGATAAAATAATTTGGTCGACTTCTCTACGCGAATGGTTCGAGTGAAGTCAAAGAGACTAACGGGTTATACTTGTTTAAGCCAAAAGAAAATCTAGGTTTATCCCCTTTTGTCCGAACACCACAGCGAACTATACCTTGAAGCCATGTATTTTTTAATGCTAATTACCAATGGCCGTTGGAGACGGAGGAGACAAAACAATAAGTTCTTATGTATACCGAACGGCTAAGGGCACTTTGCGACTGTTCTGTTGCAAAGTAACAAACGATAACGGAGCATCGTGCGCAAGAATTGTACACCAAGCCACATTTGTCGGATAAATGTCTACAGGCGAGAATTAATCATGGTGACTGGGTTCTCGGCTGTTGTCATACGCTCTTGACACGTCTGATAAGCCTTTATAGTTCAAGACGATTCCGAAACAACAAGTGACCTCGACGTGACAGACCGCTCGTATATTTACTTTTTTTAATTCAACAGGCCGAGTAGTGCAACGAACTTGTGTCGTACGCGTTGTCTATTTCGAAAGCTGCAAGCAATTATTAATTTTCTGATACTTCATCAGTTTAACTAGTATAAATTATTGAAGTAGTAAGTAATTAATAATGCTAATTTCGACTCGCATGAATAAATTTAAATTATAACACACGACCGATAATATAATATCAAAATTAAAGAGTAGATGTGACCTTTTAGAAGAACTTATATTTTAAGTACATTTTACCGAATTAAATATATTCGCTACTTTTAAGAATGCGAGTTTATTAAGCTCGACTCGACTTCGCTTAGCCTAAATTAACACTAGTTCAAGTTCTATACGAAGTTTTATAATAAAGTTTATAGAATTTATGCTACTTTTGAGGAAAGTTTATAGGTTACAAATTATTTTAAAGATAATTTTTATCAGGCCTAACAATATTAGTTATCTACATAGTATCAGCTTAGACACTGGCTTAGAACGTCATTATTAATAAAACCGTCAAAAAATAAGTAGATGTGTTATATTTTGTCAAGTTTTGAAAATTCTTATACATGTTGAAAAAAACATAATAATTGTATTTTGCAACTATATATATATTTTATTAAATATCAATGGAAAATCAATTCAAACTTAATTGAGTATTAAACAAATATAATTAAATTCTTATAAAATAAATACAGATAACAACTATAGTATTTCGAAATTAAACTCACCTATTAATTTTAGCAGGAAATAAAATCGCATATTATGGATAATGGCTATCGTGTAGGTTTTTAGCTAATTTTGCTATATTATGATTGTTGAACTGTGCCATTTCTCTTGCGTATTCAGCAGTTAGATAAGTTTAATAACGCCCTAATTGACTCGTAACAGGTTCTCATTAGTATAATACAAATAAATATTGTGATGGCAGAAAAGTTATCTTTAATGTATACTGCGCATAATATACCTAATGGCCTGAGGAGAGTATATTAAACCGATAAATATTTTTAACATGACGCATTGCCTATTAAAAATTATACAACAAAACTATTTATTATGGATATAGGTATAACATTGTGTTTTAATTTGATTGGTTTTAAACATGAATGTTGAGGTAACGTTATTTTAGCCTGTAATAAATAAAAAACAAATATTCTCAAAATTTCTAATTTCTTAAATGAAATTTTGTTTTCAAACATCAATACATCATAAGCTGAATGGTAGGTATAGGTATTGATAATTCATTTTTATTTTAGAATACATTTATTGTGTATAAATTATTATAACAAATGAAATGACCGCGTAGGCGGTAACGCATTAAATATTGTTGATTTATAACTTTCATATAAATGTGGTTTTATGTGAAAGGCAAGTAAAAGTTGGCAAAACGTTAGGTATACAAATAGATAAATGGAAAACCCAATTCGAGGTAACCAACAAAATAGATTTAGTTAATAGCTTAAAATTAAAATCGTTAGTTAACTTGTGCACCTAATAAAAACTTTACATTATAAAAAATATTAATGTAATAGTGTTGTTGTTTTACATTTAACCGCTGTTAGTGTTTCTGAATTACAATACATTAATAGAAACTAAAACAAATGTTATAGTTTAAGTGTTTAACTAATTGTGAGTGTTACATTAGAAAATTTTTTTTTTTACAAACAATTTCACAAAATAACATATCATAGCAAGTGACAAAAGGTTATAAGTAAATATAAATTTTAAATGTTAAATTTATAAAGTAAGTCAAGCAATTTTTTTTATTTTCTAATAAACTTACTAAGTCATGACGTCAATTTTTTCAATTTAAAATATCACAATTACTTTGGCCTTTTTTTTAAATAAAATGTATAAAAAAATATGTGCAAATATAGGACGTTTTATAGATTAATGTAATAACATTTTAATTTCTATTAGCTATTTGCTTTATACATTTAAATTAATATTATTTTCTCGAGTTTACTGAAACTGAAGTTAAGGAAAAAATACAAATTTCTGTATAGCTTTTAATGATGACGATTTTTACAGTTTTTATGTTTAGAAAAGTATATACATATATTTTAATTATAACCACTATATTATGTGTTCATCAAAATATGGAAGATTAATTATTAGAAAATAAGCGTGCACTATACCAGCACATGTAAACGTACTTAAGGATCTGTATGGTAATGTGTCAAGCTAAAGCTATAAACCTTAAGCATTACAGTTAAATCAAAATGCAACTACCTACGCCCTCGAATGTAAAAAACATCTAACACAATGGCGTTGGCGCTCAAGTAAAATCACAGCGATTAATGTCATATTTTAATATTTGTGTTCGTTAAGTATAACTTAGCCAACAATAGATTGTATTTATCGCATAACTAACCATAAATTATATCAAACGAATTACTCATCTTGGAGATGTAATGTTTTTTATCCAATGATCCGATTTTTGGTATTAAATAAAAGTATCTGTTTTCATTTGTTGGCACGAGTCGTCAAAATATTTATTTTCTTTTTATATACTAACTCTATTGTTTTGGTAATTTTTATCGTTTTCTATCACGAATATCCATGACCCGGTCAAGATAAGAAGAACCGGCCACGCCCCGGTTTCTTGGCTATTTTTACAAATGATTGATTTCCACTAAATGATCCCTCCATTTATTCTTTGACGTCAATTTGTTTTTTTTTACATGGAAAAATAATTACATTGCTTTCGTCGGTATACCTTTATTTTTTAATATTATTATCGGATATTTTTATACATATACCTATAAAATATATGTATCCATACAGCCTGTGGTATAAAAATGAAAATTAATGGTATGCTGATTTGTGCGTATTAACCTTCATTAAATCGATATTTCATTTTTTTTCAGGGTCTCGTTTGGCAGTTCAAAAGGCTCTATGGTAGAAACGTTGATATACGATAGCCCTCCTGTTCAAGAAGAACTACTGGACCCAAGCGACGTTGACGATACTGACGGGTAAGTGAAATTTTTTTTTTATTTTTTTTAAAAACAATGCAGAACTATTTATTACTCAAATAATACATCGTAAATCAAGGCAACGTTCCATAATAATAATAATAAGGACGTTGGCTCAAATATGGATTTACTAACCATACAAACAAGAAGGGCGTGGTGTTTTGTTTTTATTAGTTTTTTTTTTTTTAATCAAGTTCTCACCACAAATATTTTCGTTTGGATAGCCGTTAAAAACGACGATTATTGCCAATAAGTGATGCTATTATTAGATTACTGTGAAAATTATAGCGTTAAGCAGTTAAATTTATACAACCGTGGTTTTAATCACAAAATTCAATTATTATACCGAATAAACTCGTTTAATGTTGGAGGAATGAGTCTCACATTTTCAACGTTAAAGTGATTTGATTGTTGTTTGAGTTTTGCGTCAAGCACTTATTATGAGTTTCATCCTTCGAGTTTACTAAAAATGTTTAAACAACAAATATGTTATATTCGACTAATCCACAGCAAGAAATTTTAATCTGTTTTATACCTGTTTTTATCGTTGGCGTCATTATGACTTCCAAGTTTGAACAAAGTGTGTTTGTCCTTTGATAAAAACAAGGAAAGAGCCTGACATTTAAGTTGTATTAAACTTCCGTAAAGGAAGGTACCTTAATTTCTAATCGTTAAAACAAATTTTCTTTTTCTTTTATTAATTCAAAATACTGAATGGTATGATAATATACATAACGAAACGGTATCCGAACATTATTTTCCGAAGTTCCATTTAATATTAAATTGTAAAACTTGGTAAATTTTTTCGGTTTTGAGAAGATAGAGGGACAGAGGCACGATTTTTCAATTCAAAAATATAATTAAGATACCGTTTTGTACCGATACAATGTGAAGTTTATAATGAACTTAGACCCCCGCGGGTATTCTTTATTTGTTTTTTTAATACATCGAAAAATACATTTAACATGATAAAATACTTTGTTCTGGAGTAAAACCAGCTAGGTATATGAGTAAACTATAATATTATAGTAGATCACGGTTGCACGTGGTACATACAAACTTGAGGTACTTAACAATCGATTTCGAATTGGAGAAAGTAGACTACTGTGGTTTTAATAAAATACCATTGTCTAAATCTTTGGCATGTTAATGATAACTGTGAATTTTCTAATTATCCGATAACATTTCCAACCATTTAGTTCTCAACATGGTAAAATGTACTTAATTATATATTAAACAACAATAAAACACGTGAAGTCAATTTTTTCACAAATAGGTAGTTTAAAACAATGGTCGCGACAATATGATTTAATTAATTTAAACATACAACTTGACGGAGCACGTCAGAGAAAGTCGCTTCCTCGGTTCACAGAACTAATATGACAGCAAAATATGATATTTGTATTTAACGCCATGCTCTAATAAAATTGAAATCACAATCATAACTGTAACTTTAGTCTATTGGTGGTGTCTATGAAACCACATATTTGTTTATCAGAATAATTTAGCTGTTATATGATATGTAGTTATGAGAACCAAAAGGAAATAAATCATTATTTTTTTTTTGCAAAAATCACTTTTGGATCAACAGTATCAATTATACGGTATACGTTACCGTTCTGGTTTTTGCTGTATCATTTTACGAATGAGCATCGCCAATATGAACAACACGTTGATAATATAATACATATTCATTTTGCTATTCGGACAATTTTTTTTATAAAAATCACTTATCTATAAACGACAAGCTCCTCCTTAAGGATACTTAAACTTTTGAAGAGATTTTCGTGTAATACCAAAAGCTTTGTAAGAAAAGACTTTTTTTTTAATAGCATCGCCGGTGCTATAACGTTCTCTTTAGCCTGCCGTCTTCAACATTTTTTAACAATACTTAACGTTTATTATGTTTATTATAATCTATGTTTGATGAAGATTATATTCTATGTTTGGAGTGGTTTGTAGTTTTATAATAAACGCGAATAACAAACCAAGTAATGGATATATTTCGATAAAAAGTAATAGGTGTTTCAACATATTACTTAATAGTTATGTATGTTTATTTATATTTACTATTGAATATATGGGCTATAATAATAAAGAAATTACTAAAAGGTACACATTCGTTTTCCAATGTCACATATAGTTAACATACACTATTGTAGTATATAACTATTAAAAGTTTAACTTCTAAATATTCAGTCATACATATATTAAAATCGTATTAGTTGAAAAAAAATTATTTTGAAGACTGGGCCTTATCTTTTAAAATTTAGAACTCAAAAAAACACTAAGTTTTATCAAATGTTTACGTCTATAACTACTTAATATTATTAAAACTGTATTTTTATCAATCGTCCTTGACTTGTGTAATAATTTCTGTTATCAATTATTTATTAGTAGTATTAATGTTAATTTGATCAAATGTTGCCCAATAACAGCCAGACCTTTTGTTAGAAATGTAGGTGCCTTATCTATAACAAATTGGTATCTATAGGCAAAACTACAAATTGAATAAATACTCGAGCGTCGTGTTATTAGTTGGTTCATTATCAAAGTGAAGTGTTGTCAATTGCAGAAATATTATTTATAATCCATTTTCATTTTAATCAGGTCGGTATAATAATTTTAATTAGTAATTTTCTCATTTACCTTTTATACTGAAACACGACTCTCAATACTAACATTTAAATATAATTAAATTATACACAAATGATTATTGAATTTTTCTCATAAGTGTTTATAAAGTGCGTAGCTAATGTATATTTTTTAATAAAATTAACCTTGCTAAATTATTAGATAATTCAAAACACGTATTGTGAGTCCAAAGCTCATTAACTTAAATGGTTATTATTATTTTACTTAACTTGTATAGTTTTTTTTATAACATGTTATTGTTCTTTTGGACTGAATACTTATTATTAAATACCTATTTTATAAAAAAAGCCAATGATTTTATATATTGTTTTAATTTAAACATATTTTTATGAATTAAAATAATTTTTATTCATTTTAATTTAAATATATTAACACAAAGTTTATCGAATCCATAATATGTGGTAGAGTATTGTTCAATAAACTATAGATTTTTTCATACTTAACAATTGCGTTAAGTGGTCGTGTGGAAAAAAAATGTTTGCATTTATTTTTTATTTTTTAGAAAATTAGTTTATCATCTGTAGAATGGTCTCTCAAATTTTCAAATCGAAATTTAAAGTCTAAATATACCTATAGTGTACCTATATAGGCGCACTCTAGGGGCGTGTTTCAACAGTGCTACGCGCGGTTATAATATTATACGACCGCGTGTGTAAACGCTTTACCTTTCAGTATATTGGCCAAATATAATTGTTGTTTTGATATTTCTAAAAAAAACGGCTGTTTACGCAATCTTCCCCTCTGAAATCCACTAAAATATGTTATTGCTAAAATGTAGTAGTCTAGTAATTTATTGTTCGCTAAACAGCGTTAATGAGCTTAAGTCGAGTAGGTTCAACAAAAACTCTGCCATTCTATTTATTAAATCTGTTTACTTAGTAATGCTCGAGTTCAAAATTATGAAACTTTGATTATTTTTTATTACAGACCACTTGAAAACTAAATATCCCGTCAAATCTGTAATCGAATTAATGTAGTTTTCGCCGTGTAACATAATATCGTTTATAAATTATAATTTTAATATTTCTAGTTAGATAATTACCAAAACATTTTTCGCTTGTGTATTTTTGGTTTGGTTTGGTTTCCAGTCCTCCAGTGAAAGTCAATAAAGTAGATATTTTTATTGTTCCCAAAATTTTTACTCTCTGTGCTTGGAACATTTTGTAAATAAACGATACAACTATTATCTTGTTTAGCCCCGATCTTAACACGAATTAAATTAATACTGTAAATAATTATGGTTTATAATCCTAGCTTTGTACAAAAAAAAAAATTAATTTATAACGTCTTTTTTTCAAAACTCTTGTTCTATTGCAAAATTATATAATCATTTTTAAACCCTACTAACTTTCACGTTGCGCCGAGAAGAAGTTACATCAAAACAAATTATTCCGCCGACCCGTTTTTTTTTTTTACATAATCACTATAATATGACATAGGTATTCTTATATGTGTACTCGTTGCGTGGTAAACTTCATCGATCGGTCTCGGTGCTGCGGTGACACGGGATGCATTGTTCGAGTTCAAAGAGTGCAACAACGTCCTCCAAGCGCAGTAAAAACAAATTTAATACCTACCGTAGTACACCGAGCGCACCGGATCAAATTTACTAGTTTTTTTTTTTCATTTTTATTACCATTTTACCGGCTCGGGTTTATCGATTTTTGCAAAATATATATTATTGCCATAACGACGCCGAGCCGGTGTGCCGGCGGTGGTTTGGGCTACGATAAAAAAAACTGCTTGTACATTTTTCTATGTGCCCGATGGCAGCACTGCGCCAAGCATGATGTATCCGGCTGGCTCTCCCCGGTCCCTCGGCTATGCATCCACTACTCTGTCCAGTACAACGCGCCGTTTTGTCCGTACACCATTCATAAACGCTTCTCTATGATATGCAACAATATACTTAACAGTCGGTACTATACACAATAATATGTTATAATATTTTGTTATTATGTGCACGCACAACAATAACACAATACGTACGTAATAATAGTAATATTGAAAATATAAAACAACAACGGTCGTTGGCGCCGCGCATTGTGTTTCGTCCGTCGTAGTTATCCAAAAAAAAAAACCCTTTTGGCACAATGGACTACTCGTACGGGAAAACATTATAGTGTTTGTTTACTGCACGCCGTTATTTCAAACCGGATCCCGTCGGCGACACTCGTGGTGAGTTTTTCCAGTGGTCAATGTCATTTAGCGTTTTTGTTTTTTCTCGGATAGAGTGTATGTACTTGGTTATTTGAAAACGTTCGGAATTCGGTAGCCGCAGACTCGCCGTCTACAACAGCTGCTGCTGTCCCGTCCGGCAAATGTAGGGTACGCCCGCTGTGTAACAACTGATTATGATGTCATCGGCCCAACCGGTTTTGGCGGTGGGTCTGCGTATTATTCAACACGGAGTTCCGTTTATTTGGTTTGGCAGGGTGTGAATCCACTCTCTCTCTTTCGAAAAATAATAAAATAACGAGTACAGGAGCAAAACGACGACACGCTCCTCGAGTCAAGATTTACAACCAGCCGTGGTTTTGGTCGGTATCTGTAATATTATTACATCAGAACAGCTTTTAGTTTCATCTTATTGACCGACCACCGTTTGCGTCGACCGATTACGTCACACACACACAACTCGGATAACGTTATCGTTAACCGTTGGATCAATTGGATTGGATTTTGGCGCGTAAACAGCGCATCGTTGACGAGAGTTGGTGAAAAACAACGTGCATATCGCTTTTACACACTTTTTTTTTTTCAATTTAAATACATTATTAGTATGCACGCTCATCGCCGTGTAACAACAGCAACGGTACAAGGTCGAATTCCTTGACTAACCTCGTTTTTTATATTTATTTTTCACTATTAGTTATGGCCCGCCGCGGTTCGAGCTGTGTAGTATGTTAATTAACCTCTGGCAATTGCCGCCGTCGAGATGAGCAGCTTAGCAATTAGTTTTAAACGACCGAACGTCGCCGCCATAGACGTTGTCACCAAACGTTTTAACTACCAATTGTGTGCTATTTTAAGAACAACCATTTCATAAAAACAAGAGTGGTATACCGGCTTTGAATTCTCCAAAGTAATCGTTATCCGACTTGTATTCGAGGACCTGGGTCCCGTTAGCCATGCTGATTAAACATTCTGTTTTAACTTGATAATACTACAGTAATTATTCCAATGACGTGTAAACCGTGCACCGATGGATATACTGTTCGGAGGCCATGTGTTAGTGATATCATGTCTTTCTGTGCGAGAGACCTTGGGAGAATATTCATGGGATTTTGGACAGGGGCCAACTTGGAATCCGTCCATCCGAGATGGGTTTTATAGTGTTTATTTTCGCGTTCCCACCGGACGTCATCTGGAGAGAGGAGCGCACGCCTGGAGTTAAAATTAGAGACGCAAATAGGTCAAACGTCATGTTTAATATTATTATGTAGTCATTGTTAAGATAACTCTGAGCGCGAGTCTAAATGTTTTCTGTGTGTTTTCAGAGCCGTCGCGTCCACTAAGGTCCGGGTGAGCTTTTTCGAATCGGAAAGACCGTACTGGCTACCGTCGCCGCCAAAATCCTTGGAAGTGTTCGGTGACACCACGATGACAACTTCGAGTCCTATACTTCAACGGTCGAATGGCCACGTCCAAACGCAGATTAGGTGAGTACCTACGTCCTGAGCTTTTTATTAATTTTAAATACAGGCTTAGAATCCGGTTGAACCGATGCAAACTTGTTGCATTATCATCACGTCTGCCATTATCTCGGTACGAGACAATGCGCCACGCGGTCCCGTGCAAGTTTCACCGTGTCTATTATTACAACGATTATTATTATTATTACAGCTATAATATATACACCACGTGAGTTCGTTGCTAATTCGTATCGAATACCATTGTCCAGATGGTTGAACGACCCTTTCGTATGAGCTCCGGCAGCGGCCGCATACGTGAGAAGTGCTCGCCGTTTTTACACTGGTTGCTGCCAGACGTTATCGTTCCAGTGTACTAATATAATCGTACTTGACGCCCAGGACACGGTGTAACAGACACGGTTTGATAGGATTCCGCAGCAATAATAACACAAAACCGAGGACGTTAAGACGTAACCTCTGAACAACGACGATTCGTCTTGCCAGGAGCGATGTGTGTAGAGGCGTCGCCGGTCAGCTAAATTAATGGGAAAAAAGACTGGACCAACGCTGTGTCATTGTCGAACCACAAAAATGGAGCTGCTTATACACCAGCGAGCGAATTTTGGTCAACGTTTAATCTTGTCGCTTTCCAAAGATTCTGACATTAGCACGCACCTCCATAGGGTGAGCGACGATACAAAAGCTGTTGCTGAGGGATGATATCTAAGATCCTAAGCTCGTCTTCGCGACACTAGCACAATAGTTTTGTACTTTAGCTGTTTCTAACCGAGCAGACTAACATAGTACGTTTATATGACATATGCATAACTGTGTTGTGTATTGTTCGCACCGGTTACGAACAAAGAAACAACTGGTTCGGTTAATCAACAATTAGTGTTGCCTTTTGTTTGAAGATCGGCGTTGATGAAACGCCACGGGGTACGACCGATGGAGAATAATTCATTAATGCCCGGCGTATGGGTCAGTAGGACATGTGGAATAATAATAATTACTATGCGTGATGTCATTGATACGTTTGTTTTGGACGCGACGTCGACCTTGAACCGACAGCGAGAGGTATTCGGTTCGTACGCCATTACACTAGACTAGTTGTTGACACTTTTTATTTTTTTCTATCGCTGTTCAAATATAGAGTGTGTGCGTTGTCTTATCTTCGAGAAGTTTTGGCGAAAAAAGGAAAAACGACTAATCGTTGCGCAACGCCTAACTCGACCCGCGAAACAAGTTACGCTGGTACCAGTTTAAAAGTAGGGGAACCCGATAGTCCATGATGAATTACCGCCGGGTTCCCACCTGAAACGGTTTCAGGTGGACTCCCGGGTTCTCCTACTTCTTCTGTACTAGACGTTCATTAAATATTTCATCAGCTCTCTCGAGTGTTGTTGAAAACTGACGGCGGTTTTTTTCGCGGTCTCCTTATTCTAGAGCACCGACACGACACCGAGACGCCAAAGAACGACGGCAATTACGTCACCTGTGTTGTGTGTACAGATAGTGACACGCACATAATATTGTTGTGCGTTTAAGCCAACGAGGCGGCCGCACAATCGATATCGTTCGACGATGCGGGGGAGGGCAGCGAGACGGGCAACAGCGGCGGCGGCGGCAAGGGGAACGGCGACCGAATCATGCGCACACCGGGCCTCCTGTTATCGATACCGCCGGTGTGTGTGCACGCCACGATACTATCGATTGTTGTGTTGGTGTGTACCACCGCAGTAGAGTATCCGCCGCCGCCGCCGGTGTCGAGGAAGGGGACCGTAGCCACAGTCGCCTTGGCTCGGCAGTTCGCTTTTCCCTCCGCGCCGGCCGCGACAATCGCCGTTTTTCGCGCCGTCCTCTGCCGCGTATGTCCGTCGACGCAGGATAGCAGCAACGCAAAAAATACCGCACAAGAGTTTGCAACAAACATACAATTATCGTCGGCCCTGGATTATGCCAACGAGCATGACCGCTTCTCACGGTGGTGTGTTGTACTACGTGGTTAAGGTGCCCAAGGATGACCCGACTCTGGATTACGTGTCGGCAACGGCTTCGCACAAGTACTTGGAGGAAAAGCACACGTTGTCGCCTTTGAACTTGGAGTGAGCTTAAAAATTATTTAAGTATATCCGCGCATCTGCGAAACCGCCGTCTTCGCGGGTCCGGGGTCGTAGCTGATCGGATCCGTGAGTTCCATAAAAGTCCGATAAGATGTTATTATTATTATTATTCAAGTAACGCCCCCATAATTGGCTTTTAAGCGCTGTGTATTTTCAGACGACCGTCCGTCGAATACGTTCGAACCAAGCTTAAAATATCAATTTTATGTTCATCCCAAACGATTATGGGCATTTCGTAGTAAACACAGAGTACCTACGCATATTATTATTCTTGTTACATGACTGCTTCCACCGGTCACGTCAAATTAAACCGCCTAACCGCCGCGTTTCGGTGCGTTGCCGAAAGAAACCCGCGATGCCTCTCAACGGTTGTCGGAATATTCCACAGGCATCGTTAGAGCTACACGTTTATTATTATTTGTATTTTTTTTTTCTAACACGTTCGTGTCACAAAGCGTATCTAGACAAAAACTATGACTTCGGTTACCGCACATTATACCTGAAGAAAAAAAAAATCGTGTCCGTCGTGTCTCGCACGCTTGTTCACCTCTATGTGTGTTACTATTTCTGGTCGGTACGTTGTTGTTGATTAATACATTCCGAACAATTTCCATAGGGAAGTAATTCCAATAGAACGACGTGTAATGCATCTTCGATGTATTAAAACACTCTTCCAACTGTAAAAAGCGTATTTATCGTTTTGAAAGCGGTCCAATTCTATGTTTGTTTGGTTTGAGTTGTAAAAACACTGTTCGGTACATCTGGCCAGCAGTGGTTTTTGGCCTAGGATAATTATTATAATTTTGTATTGGCCGTTGTCGTTTTTATGGACATTCGTGACATACCATATAATCCTGTATATATTCTATGTGCAAGTAAAAAACAACTTATTTTCATCTAGTTGCGCGCCATGGTCGACGATGGACTTGACGTGGGCGAGACCTTTTGGCCTATCGGATATTTCAATACACATTGTTATTTTGAATGTCAAACGACCACACCTTTTTAAAGGTCAGTTCGAGCCAGCAAAGTTATAGTGCGTTATGCGTAGCTTAATTTTTTACACCATTAACACTTAAAAAGCATTGGGGATTAACATGATATTCGGCCGTTTCATCCTGCCCCGACAGGCGAGTACACACGTGTACACTGGTCAAAATGTTTTCTAATATGTTTAAAAATCTCGCTAATGAAGGGGTATTCACATGGTACGCTTTATTCGTTTGGAATTCGACGTTTGATCTCAGTTGGGCGATACCAGCCCGCCAGGAGTACAAATTGCATATTTTTTGTAGTGCATCATTGTCGGCAATGGTAATTACCAGATCCGTGTCTGGTGTCGAGTACTTACACGATCGTTATTGGCCATCATACCGAGATTTTCCACGGACAAACGACACGGTTCGGCGAGCCAGCAATTGTCCGTGAACCCGCCGAATCTCCTCTTTTCCTGTCTGTTGTCCGCCTTTTTAATAACACCGTGTATTCCTCCGGCGCCGAAAGAATTTCCACCGGCCAACTGCATTAACAAAAATGTACATTATCATCCAACTAACTCTTTTCCTCTATGCACTTTTCTATTGCCAGAGAAATATATATTTACAGTCAATATATGTAATGTAAATTGCATACACGACATAGAAAATTATCGTTTATGGACAGACACTCAGCAGTTGTCTTTATGAACTTATGGCTATGAATTATGACCGGTTATGAAAAAAAGCGTACTGCGTCGTCTCCGGCTAAAGTTCTCCGGTATATTTCATTAACACAATCCACATTTAAAAATGAAATGGTTTGCCTATGTGTGAAACGCGCGCTTAGTAAAATAACGCTTGAAAGCGCAAGTCGGTTAAACGTTTTCCTTTTTGTTTTCTAGTTCCGACGGCTGGGACAATCCTTTCAGACCCGACGGTGACTTGTCTAAGGAAGCCGACCAGATCGTCGAACTAATCAAAGAAGGAAAACCCATCACACCTACGCCCGCGAACGCTACATCACCACTATTGCCAAATCAATCAGCAAAGAAAGATCAACCTGTAACGTCCACACCGGCCAAATCAAACGGTACTTGTAGTGAAAAGAACGCAGTGCCGCCCAATGTGGAAGTCCAAAGAGGTAATAGTTAAACTCACGACTTTTTTTTTAGAATCTTAGTTCCGTTAAAGTTTTTTAGAAAACAAATAAATAAATGATACATGAAAGAAAGAAGCCGCGGCTTCTTCTTCTTGGCCATTGACTTTTTAGCTGTTATTATTTTCTCGTTCTCGCAATCCGTCCCAATCTTTTACACGTTCGAAATATGAGCTTGTCATACTATATATATTCTTGACTGTTGTTGAAATTCTACAAGAATAGTTTGGTTTACTTCTCACCGAATCAAAAATATTATTCCCGTTTTATTATGATGAACAGCGTGTTACGGCGTTAGTTTTTTCATACAATGTGTATTACCAACGTTCCTGCCTTGCATATGAATTGTTCGTTTAATTTTCTCTCTAAAAATGAAATTATAAGTTCCAAGGCCTTCGGGGTATTTTTTTTTTGTACTATTATCGTACCGAAAGACCAAATTAGTACGTGTCTCGGAGTTTGTTTATTTTGACCTTATACGGTTAATCATCCGTCCGTTACTAAAGAATAATAATTCAATGCAGTGCTTCTTCTACATGTCTTCTTTTTTCAATCGAAACCTCATCACGGCATCTATAGACTCATTAATCGTGGCGTTTTTTATATGATACACTTATTTTTGGTATAGTTTACTAAAATCATAACTACTACACAGGCCCTTTTATTCATAATATTTTTTTTGGTATTGCTTACAGGAACTGTGATAAACGGGAACGAACCATCCCAGGTGGAGCATGTAGTATTGAAGAAAAAACCCAAGTGCAGGTGTTGTGTGATACAATAACAAGTGACCGGATACACGCTTACACAGACACACATTTTTTTTTATCCGAATATATAAATATATATATATATATTATAACAGCATATTATATTATATGTAAAATAATCCTAAAAACGCATAAACTAAAAATAATTAAAAACAAAAAAAAAAAAAATGTTTAAAAGAAGAACGCTGTGCCTTCGACCGTGTGCGTTGTTGGCGAGATCCCGACGTCTCGCGATACAAAATGATTTTTCAGAGCTATATTAATTATTATGTTTGTACCTATATGTTTGTATTTATAAGTATATATAAAAACTCTACAATTTGTATTATATAAAAAAAAAATAACAATAATGACTTTTCTATGAATATATTATATTATATGTATATTAAAAAAAAAAAAACATACATATAAAAATTGATGACATAAAATATAAATGTCACATAGTTCCTCTTTATACACATATACATATTATATCTACATAATAATATATTAATTATGAAAATCGTTTTTTTTTTTTTATAATAATGTATTGTAATAATAGTATATAATATTATGTAGCAAACTTTATGTTGCTTGTGACAAGTTATATATATATATATATTGTACTGGTACCCAAACACACATTGCACACAAAATAACACACGCCAACTATATTTGGACAACTGTGACTGGTAAACGAAGACGGGGAATAAAAAAAACACAAAAAAAAAAAAATTGTATGTGTTTTTACCAGTTTTTCACGCAAACCGTTTTTGTTTTGGAGTTGACGCACGCTCAAACATAATAATATTTTCATTGTACGAATTCGCCAAATAGGTAAACTATATATTTTTTCAACAGCTTATAAAATAAAATATTATACGAAAACCTCCTCTACAATCTTTCTGTGATTATATAATAATATATTATATTACTTATATTTATTTATTTATTTTAATTTTTTTTTTTGTTTTGTTATTTATTTTATATTTATTTACCGCGACAAAAAATGTATTGTACTGGGGATTCGATTGAATCGAAGAAAACGTTTATATTGTACCATAATAGAAAATAATAATATGTAATACAATTATAATAATAATAATAGTACTATGTTAGTATACGTTTATATAGTATCTGTGTATGGTATTTAAATCATACTATTTGTAACGTTTTCATTTATGATTTATTATTACTATTACCTACTATAATATTACTCGGAAACGAACGCATGTGATGATAACGTCAAGGACGGAAAATATTGTTCGACTCTGCCTGTGAATTAATTAACGCATTAATGTGGAAATGTTGGAAACTAATTAATTAAGTATTTGATATATATATTTATATTTATATTATAATAATATATGATAATGATATGTTGTTTTTCGAAATTCCGCTTAACGGTCTAACTTTTTTTTTCTTTGTACGCTTTTTTTTCTATTTTAAGATTTTTTCAATAAATATTCGAGAATAGTAAAAAAAATGTACGAATATATTATAAACTTAAATCATAATACGATTGTCTATTGTACTTTATTAAATAATTTAATCGTTTTTTTCCTCTCCGAATTGATTACTAATTATTCTTTCGGAAAGTTAACCAACTAAGAAAAATCTTTATAGAATTAAATTTTAATAAAATGTCTTTAAAACGTTTTCCAACATTTTCTATAGTTAACTATTATATCGTATCACTTCTGAGCAATATCACGAAATTTAACATAATAATATTTATATATATATTTGTAATGTTCAGATTTGTTATTTTTGTAAATTACAATCTTTTACTGTGTGATCGATAGAAGTCGGAAGTTGGTTTTTTGATTTGTTCAAATTAAATATCAAATTTAAACCGCACAACTACGCATTTTTTTCATTCGAACAATTTATCGTTTGGGAAACCCCAACGTTAATAATAGCAAACGTGGAAGAAGTTTTGAACATTTTTTTTTAGTTTGAGAGATTTTTTCAATTTTTATATAAACGTGTTCTCGGAGTGTCTTTCCTATGGGATGTATATAGATTTACATCATTTTTGACTGAAGTGAATAGTACTTAATATGAATGCTTTACATGTTGAGTGGTATTTGAAAGTAAATTACAATGTGTATTACTATGAATTTGTACTTTTTTTTAAAACTATTATTATTATTCCCGAATCTTAACCATTATAAACGTTGGAGATAATCATACTATAATATCTTTTATGTGTTTTTATTTTATTTATATAATGTACACGAGGAATCATTTTATAAATTGAAGTTTTTTCAATTATAATACATTTTTTTTTTAAATGTTTTCACTTATGAAATTAACGTGAACGCATCCATTACAGAATGTTCAAACTGTAAATAAGAATGAATGTAAAATTCGATTGGGGTGTGGCCTGTGATGAAATAAAAAAATCCAAAGCAATTTTCTGAAAAAGAAAAGCAACGCATCATTAATATCGTTATATTTTTAAAAATGTCTTACCTGGTCGTGAATAGGTTATTTTTGTATTATCCGCTTTTGGATAAAGCCCGTGGCGTGCACCACACGTTAATTATATCCTTCAGGTGAACCGTATTTCAGTATTTGCCCACAGCAATCGCGTATAAACATTGTAGTGTAATTATTTGTGTAGACAGTTGCCGTATACGTTTATTTCGGGACGGGACTTAGGGTTTTAGCCAGAAAAAAAATGACCCAGTGTCCCTGTCTATATAGACACGTGTAGGTCGCAAGCTGCACAATTGCACAACGCGGCCAAGAAGTTTTTTTTTTTATTAACTTCAATTTGCATTTAACAAAACAATATATTGGAATATGTGATACCATTACCGTCCAAGTGTAATGGGTGGATTTTTTTAAACAGAATAATAGCAAAAAAACCATCGTCAATGTACCTAGTTAAAGAGCCTCTACATTAGCTTCTATTAAGGCGCATTGTATAGGCAATTTTTCATTACATTACAATTTGTAAACTCATAATATTATAATACGTACGCAGAAAAAAAGTTTCTATTTTTGTGTTTAATTTTTTTTAAACTTAACTTTATACTTCAAACAGAACGTTTTTATAAGTAGGTACTCAGAATTTATTTTTGAAAGTTTTCCATAACATTTACAAAGCAACGACGATAGCATAGATTAAAAGTTATTTTTAATTTATAATTTATTAGGTTTGTTGACCAAAACTACTCGGATGTAGGGGCCCCTTGTAAACTAGTATAATAAAAATTAGAAATTAAATTAAGCTCCCGGTAGATACCTAGTTATATTGAGTGGTAAATAGTTTACGGTTTTACTACAACCGCACAGGTGTGACGTCACTATTCATTCCACAAATTCTTCAAGTGTCCTCTGCGGACTATAAATATACCTAGACTAGGCTGTGTCTATCGAATATTGTAACCATAATACACTTTGACTTTCAACTCGATTTAATCAGCTCAACATTAGACGCAATTCTTTGTTTTGATGCATTGGAGAGACGTGCAAAATTCATATTGGTTTTTTTTTTAGTTAATATTACACAATGTAAAGAAAATAACAATGAAGGAGTTATTTTAAAATGTCCGCCATAATGAGCTGTAAAATTAACTTTAGCCGCCAAACCAGTATGAAAACGCGACTTGAAAAAAACACTAAATAAAAAAATATTTCTAGTTTTATTTTTTGGCAAAGGTTGTTCAAGGGTAACAACGGTTTGTGAGTAACACTAACCTAAATTTTAATATTCTCTGTGCTCATGTTTAAACAAGATTTAAATTTAATTATTTTTTTATAATTTTTACTATTATTCGATGGTAACACTTCTAATTTTTTATACTAATTTTTAGAATAAAAGAAATTTAATAAGAATTTAACCTACCCAAGACCCCTCTCTCTTTCTTTATATCCACAATGATAGCATAAAATAAATTATTATTGAAATACAAGCACATACTATAGGGCTGAATACATACAACAATTTTGCGTCGTTGCCATCGAGATTATAGATAGAGGGAAGGGAAGGAAGGAAAATTATAAGAACACCAGACGTTAGTGGTAATAAAAAAAATACGGATGTTATTTATAAGACTGTAAGTAAATATTGACTTATCGCGTCTGTAAGTACACCAATCCAATCAATATGACACGAGATGTGTGAAAAATGTCCAATATAACGATTTTCTATTAAAACGAATAGCGTAATAATGTCATGCTGAACAAATAGTTCGTTTTTTATATTACATTTGTCTGTATTTATAGTATGAATGACTGACAAAAATATATGTTAAATTGAATATGTTTCTGATTCGATTTACTGTAAATCTAGCTATTATTTAGAATACAAATAATTTAAACCGTTCACTTCATTTAGTTACAAGTCGTGTATCATTTATTACAACGAAAAATTATGTGTTTACAAATATATACAAAATACATTATTTTATTATGTTTAACTTATTATTTTCCGATGGTAAATTCTATCACTAAAGAGGTAATTATAATTTTGCGAAGAATAACTTACGCATAATATTTAAAACACAATTATTATTATTATCATTATTAAAGTTAAACATATATATATATTTTTAATATTAATGAATGTTCTGTAAACTAAGCATTTAGAATACACATTTTTGAAGTACTAGTTTTGTATTTTGCTGACATACATTTGACGCTCTTTGGATGTTCATTTTATAACTTTTGATAGTATAAGAGTAAAAATGTGCGTTTTAAAAAAATAAATAAACGAATCACATTATAATTTTATATTATTACTGTATATTATATAGCATATAAATAATATGTGGACCGGGATAAAACCTGACTACCGTGACTATATTCTCCTCGATGATTTGGTTAGTAATTTTGGGTACGTGGACCGCGATGAATTCTTGCTCGTGATGTCACATTACGGATCCAAACATCAGATAAATAAAGGTAACCGTTATGCAATTGTTTTAGTACATAATAATTCAGAAACACAAGCTCTTAAGCACTAAAAGTTTTTATTGTAGAAAAATGAAATATTTTATGAATACATTATTTTTTAAATTTCATATGTTGTTATAATTTCGTGGATTTTAGCCAACTATGAATACAGAATGTATTTTCACCATTTTGCAAAGGCCGTGATTGAAGGTCGCATACCAAGATGTTCTATAAAGGTAATGTTTACAATTATGTGATAATATAAATGTGTACACTCAAAATGTATTATTAGGGTAGTATTGACAAAACTTGTGGAATAATCTTTAATTGATATTCACTAATAATTGAATACGAACGACACTCTTGCCTATAAAGCCTACAAGTGCTACACTTTTTATCGATAGGAGTTCAGATTATCCAATGTGTCGGTTCCTTTTTTTAATCAGCTATAGTTATACTGTCCAAATGGTTGTATAAGTTTAAAAAAATATTTAGGCGATGCATGAGATATTTGAGAAAATACTTCCACAAGACAAAAACAGAGGATATATTATTCGCGAAGACTTGATTAGACATTATGGAACAAAAATGTCTAAAACTAACCTCGAAACTATTATGACAGAGTTCGGAGAATTGGAAGGTAAATATAATTTTTAAATATGTGTAATATAGTTTAAGTTAAGAAGATAGTGGTTTTACAGTATTTTATTCCTATTTCATTACTTAGTTATTTTAACCAAGTCTAACCTATCAGCTATCCCAACCCAACCTAATTAATGAATAATCAACTTCGCTTGCAATATATTAAGTAGAGTGTTTTTAGTTTTATTTCCTCTGGATTCTACAATAAAGTAAAAGATTGTATAGATTGTAAAGATTGTTTATGGCCAAAAAATGTATAATAATTTTGCAACATTTTATTTACTTCCTGTTTTGGGAACAATGAAACATTTTGATATTTTTGTAGTAATTAATACATTATATTTATGTTATGTTGTTGATTTTCAGGTGATGTAGTCCGATTATATTTGTATAAATTTAAAAGAGCCATGAACATTGGACTTCTTCCAGAACCGACGTGATGGTTATGCAATGGTCGCTGACTTATTGATATTTTAATAAGAACGCTACAACTATAATCATAATTGTTAACATTTTTAAAAATAATAAATTATTAAGTCGTTATAATAATAGAAAACCATATAATAATTATAATATCCTATATAATATAATACTTATTTAATAAGACATTGTCACAATATATTACCATATTATGGCGTATGGTAACCGTTGCTGATGCTATGATACTGATTTCGATTTTATCGTTTTTCATATTGGTTAAAAAAATATATTTGACTGGTCAGCTTTTGAAACGTAGAAAAAACAAGGACAGCTCATGTTCTTTGTCGAACAACCAAACCAACCGGGACAGCTGTCTGTGGGCTTGGACAATTTTGTCCGTTTGTCAGCACTATAAAAAAAAACTATAGCTAAATAACTAAGTGTGCAGTAATCGTTCTTATTAAATTACTATGAAGTTTGCCAATTTTTTTCTATATATTAGTTATTAGTTATTACATTATTTGTCAGTTTTTCGTTGAGATAAATGAATGTTAGATAAGAAAAAGATAATATTTTTAATTTTAACGAATTTAATTGATTAAATGTATTTAATGTAATTCATATTCTTTGATTTAAATAACATGGTAAATTATTTATACAATATAAATTATATTATAAAGACAATCCAATTTTTTTAATGGCGTTCTTTGGTAAGCATACAATATATGTAATAGAAACTATTAATACATTTTTAATGCTATACATATTTATGGAAATATTTTGTGTCCGCCTAACATTTTAAAAGCATTTGAGTATTTTATTTACGTATTCAAATCGTACATGTTTCCATTAAGCTTTTTAAAAAAACAAAGCTGTCTCAAAATCGACGTTTTCCATAACTATACCATTGTGGTATAAATTATGTACTCACAAAGGTAAGTATATATTTTGGGTTTAAAAGTGCTGCGATAGAAACTTTTCAATGTCGTGTAAAAGCAATTTCGAGGAATATTCTAATATTTGGGTAATGGCACGACGTAAATTATAGCATTTAAGTTAACGGGCATTCGTTTATTATAAATGTTAGGTGTTACTATTAGGGCGTGGTTTCCAGACAATAGACGGTGTTCGAGTGTTGGAACTTGTGTACTTCGGATGACATTCAGTGTCCAACGACAACTGTAGAGTACTTCCTACGTGTTAGAGACCTATTCGTGTTTGAACATTTTATAAAAGAATTTTTGAGATATAATAATGATACCCCTTTTGGCCGTTTACAGCTACTTGGCGGGAACTTGGCACATAACATTTGATAAAAACAGCAATCTTTATACAACTAACCACTTCGGTATAGTATTTACGTTAGCGATTTTGGTCGTTTATACAAAAACGATGATTTCTATGGCCCAAATGCACATTGCTGGCGAAAGTTTAAAAACCAAGACCCAGTTTTTTCTATTGTTCTTAATTCACGTTAACAACATAACATTGGGACTGTCGAGGTGAGTGAACGACTTGCATACGATTATTTATGAATATATTGGGAAAACATTAAATGCAGGTATTGTAAATCCATAATTTCATTATCATAATTATAAATTAAAAAAAATATATATAAATGCGTATTATAAACCGCTTAACCGCTTGCTGTGATTGTTAAAAATCTATTTGATTTTTATTAAATTTTTTAACAATGTTATATTGATGACAACAATCACAGTATAATAGCTTTCGGTGCACTAGCTTTCTTTACAACGATCATATTGCTTATTACAGGGTATGGAATAAAAGTTCGACTAGAAATTTCGCAAATGAACTGTACAAGACATGCAACCAAAAAGTCGATTCGGGTGACACCTTGAAGGAATTTTGCTTACGCATCGGTTGGATCATTTGCGTGGTGGTGTCGAGCAATAAGAATTCCAACTCGTTGTCAAACCTAGTGGAAAAAATAGAACTCAACAACACCCTGACGTCTTTTTTACTTTTCCTCAGGACCGGATTGCCCTCGAGTGTTGACTTCCAGATTTCAGTGATATGCAACATGCTGAGACAAGAGTTCAAGAAAGTGAACACTGCGCTCGGTAAGCTACGCATAGTCGAACATGGCACACTGGAAATGGACAAAATAATACAAATATCGCAAGCACACGGACAGCTGACCCGGTTGGTTCGGTTGTTTAACGATGAGTACGGTCTGTGCTTGTTTTTGTCCACGTTCCAAAAACTGACCACTCAGATATATTTTTTCAACGAGATCATAACCACCGTTTTGGACAACGATAAAATCGACATAAGCATCATAAGCGTCAGCAACGGTTACCATATATTTTTTTGGATCGGACTCTGGGCTCAGTACTGGTGGATTTGCTTTCAAGTGGACCGGCTAATAAATAAAGTGAGAAGTAGCAATATTTGTTTTTTCTTTCTATGTACACGACCGTCTAAGCGCGACTGTGTTGTAATATTTTGATTTAATAGATCAGCGAAACGGCTCTAATCATGTTCGAAAAAGATTTCGGCTCGTTTCCGGAGTACGACAGAAAACCGGTAAAATGTATTTTATTATTATAAACCGCCTTTAACACGGTTGCCTTGAGCGGTTTCTACAAAAGCATTTTTATTGTATAGACAATCATGCAATGAAAGTTAACCGTAAGCTAAAATTTTATTGAAAACGGACGGGTTTTAAGAAGTTTTGCTTAGGCAATATTTAAGAAAAAATATGGCCTTGATACATTTTGACCATGTTAATTTATTAACAGATTAATTTTTAAAAGCTTCAAAATATTATTTTTAACCCGTACACTTTTTTCAATGAATAAACGGCATTTTGGTGATTTATAGACCTCAAAACCTGACAAATTACAACTACTTTAGATGGCCCGATTTAAATTATTTAAAGAAATTCGAGTTCTTTGACTAGTATGCCAGGTTATGGAGGAAACCGATTTTCATTTAAAATTTTTCTGTAATAAAATAAAATAAATTAAAACAATTTCCAAGTACGTTCCTAAGAATACTCCAATTTAAGTGTATTTTAAAGTACGGTTTAAATTTAAATACGTTGTTTTCGACCAAACTCATGCAGAAGTAGAAGCTCCTTATCAACCTCACACATAGTAAGAAAATTTCGCAATTATTATACAATACATTATTATTGCAGCTGTTTGATTTTTTGGATCAAGTGCTTCATCGTATTAACATAAAAATATCTGCTTGGGGTTTCTACGATGTCGGCTTGGAACTAATAAGTGTGGTAATTGAAATGACACTATATACTCTAGCCAAGTGTTTTCAATTGTGAGCATAAAAATATACCATTTTATTTTTAGGCATTTACATATCATTTTGGCATATGTTTAATATGTGCACAACTTGGATCAGCCAACACAACGCCTAATCATTAATTCAAGTATTTTAATTAATCTATTCTTCTCACAAGAAGTTTCACACTGTGATAATTAATATAACAAACCTATCTATTACCTATATTTGGTTTCATATCAAACAAGTATTAACAATGTTTTTGAAGTTGTTAAATTGAAAATACATTTTAGTGTTACACTATTTTTCCGTTAATAGTTCTGTGGCGTTTGGACAGAAGCTATCCTTATGTACTTTTATTTTACCAAGCGAGTATGATTTAGCGTTCATAGCGTGGTTCAATTTCGTTTTGACAAAACTAAATAAAGTCGTTTGTAAAACGTCCAACCTGATATTTAATCGAAATTGTAATTAGAACTTATTCCCTTGTGTCATTCTACCACAGTATTATTTTAAAAGCACGCTCCTTGTAATATATTTTATAACCCAATCAATTTGTTTTCATACGTATGATCTTAATTTTAAAAAATATTCAACGAGCTCTATCTGGTGATCAAAGCAGCAAAGTGAGCTTCTGCGTTAGTTGTACTCTTCAGTAAACAGAGAGGGTAAGTTTGTATATTATAATGATATTTTAAGGATCAATATGCATCACATAGTTATACTTCAAAAATAATATTTGGTAAACTGCATATTAAAAGTGTTACTGGCCAATCAGCACTGTCAAAAAAATGTTATATTTTTTAGATTATAATTTGATTGACAATGTTGTAAAACCCGGATTCCAAAAATCTCAACTACTCTAGTAGATGATTGAATTTGTGAAACACACTGTGTATAGTTATCTTTAATATTAATATTATTTATTGAAAACGAATTTGTATTTTGAAAATTAAAAGAAAATCCTAATCAATTCTAAAATGTTTATTCAACATTGTAATTATGAATCCAATTATAAAAATTGTGACAGACGGCAATGGGTATAGGCAATATCGCTACACAGCTGCTTAGGGCGCTCGGACGATTGACTAAATTTAACAATATACTTTAATTAGCAATAAAATACCAACATTAGCATTTTATATAAATAAAGTTCTATAATTTTATTACTATTGTTATTTTATTATAGCCAACGTACATAAAAACGTTATCGAAATTTTAATTTTTAAATAAAGTGCATACAAATTCTGTTACAATAATTATTTATGATAGTAATAGTCTTAACGTTGCAACCGTATGTATTTTAAGCGACACCTACTCTATAATATTAAGATACATAAAATTAAAAAACAATGTTTATCCCACTTATGTGAACGGCACGTGCAACTTAATTGTATTGCCACGGTTATACACGGTTTGATAATAATATATGCGAGAACCGTTGCTAACAGACTGATGGTACCCCGGGGCGCAGTTAATTTTGTCAGCAGCCATCCGATTTCGCCAACTTTCTGCTTTGGACTTCCTTGCATTAACACGCCATCTATCTCTCATCATCTCTGCGAAAACAAATTTCTTACAATCAGTACAAATCCTGTTAACTTTAACAGACGCTTGTATTCATGTTGTTTTTAACAAATGCAATATTTTCCACAATGTAACACACACAATGAACAGATAATTTTTGCTAATTTACAACTTTTACACTCCATCAAGATAAATGCTATTGTTACTTGTTACTTATGCTTATTATTTGTATAAGAAAGACATACTTGCTTAGATTTCCCCAATGTTTATACTATTATACATTAATTAATGGTATACGTTTAATAACAGCCCAAAATAAAGTCGTAGGGACTGTAATTATTTTTCCTAAACCTCTAACTACTAGAGGCTAGACATTACAACGCGGATATACAATAAAAAAACAATATCATTAGCCTTGTCCATTAGGCGACAGAGAAACTTTAGCTGTACTCATAGAATATACTTATGTGAAACTAAGTACAGGTATACTTACTAAGTAAAATATAAGATTTCATTGCAGTGAGAAGTCTCCATATTTTACTTACAGGTAATCTTCTCATATATCTGTTTGGGGTTGAAGCTCTTGTTCAGTAAATACCATGAGCATCGAAAAATTAAAAAAAAATCTTTTGATAAATCTGAACCTACTAAAACCTCATCATCTGAATGAAAATTAACAGGGTCTATTCTATTCCTTTTTTTTTTATGTTTTTTGCACTCTGATTTGTACCAGTTGATTTAAATATTCATAGTTGTCATCAATATTGAAATAATCATCCATTTTTTACAAAGTATCAAATAAATTATTTAACGTTTGTACAAACATTTGCATTTGAAAAGTGTCAATAAAAATATTTGAAAGTGAACGCCAGGAACTTTCTAAGATTTGCCTTGCTAAGATTTTACTGATCATACCTAGCAATTTTCTAACCTAACGTGTTTTCCGTATTTATGAATATTACATTTTACGATTTTCTTACTAAAATATTTCACTAAGACCATATTTTAGTGTTATGTATATGAATATTTAAATTATACTTACAACTATATTTGCACTCAAGCACCACTAAGTATGATCTATGAATATAATAAAGGTATATTATTATTGTTATCGGTGGTGATTTTTAGAATTAGTGTCTACTGTAGTACCTACTACTGTCCGTTGACTTTTGCGAAGAAGACCAACCGACGGCAGTTGGCTACAACATGTGTACCGCGTGTCGGCCAATGGAAAGCGTAATAATAATTTAAATTTCTATTCAAGCAGCCCCTTCCCCCGTACTTTGTATGTAATAGTAAAAACACATGTTTGCACGCATCCCGTTATCATCTAATATTAATGTCATTCCGATTACATCAAAAGTTACGACAAGCACGTGACGTACAATCAGATGGGTGCAATATATATATATATATATATCCAACTGTAAAGCATGCTCTGCGAGTATAACGGCCATTGTTGTTGGTTGGCGTATACGGCAGCTACTCTGCGACGGTATTACATCCACTCTTCTCTAAATCTGTCCCGAAATCTCAATAAAATTATATCGCGACTGCATGTTGTACTATATTACTACCGGCTTTCGTTTTATCTTTATTTTTCATTTCTCTCTCTCTCTCTATCTGGCGTGGGCGTGTTCCTTTTATTATATCCCTTTGAAGCACTCGCGGTGCGCTACCTACGTACATTAAAAATGACAAGCTTGCCGTAGAATGTCATGTATGAAATATTCATAAAACGGTTTCTTGCAGACTTATTATTATACTCTCAGGTCGACTCGCCTCCGGGGTAGGGGGAGATCTGTTCTTTATGTGTGTGTGTATGTGTGTAATATCAATACGCGTTACAACCGGAGAGTACATAATAATAACATGCATGCACACCGGCTAAGGCCAATTCTAACACAAAAGCGGCTTTTGGCATGCTAAACGCGCATGTGAAAAATGTTCAATGACTTCAAAGTGGTTGTACAAAGGTAGTAGTTTCTATAGATTTCCGAAATATAATATTAAAATTCTATACTCGATAACAGCGCGTCGATATCATTTTGTCTTGTATTTACATATACATTGAACACGCCGTCGCGCAATTGCTTTATCGAGTGTTAGGTTTTTTATCTGTATTATTAAAGGTCAATACAATGAAATATAATATTTATGTACTTCGTATACAATATGCATGTAGATAGTAGGTGTTACGCGGTAAGAACATATTAATATTATATTTTATTATATTATAATGTGTTAAATCCTCTAAAAAAAAACCCGATATCGTTAATATTATATTGAATTTTTCGATAAATATGATTTAATATTTATATTTTTAGTATACTTATGTTAATAATATAAAAAAACTAAACGCGTGTAAACAGCTATCATATTGCCTGCCGTTTTACAATAGAAAAGTTTATTTCCGTTGTGTTATTCTTATTTTTATTTCATTCTTAATAATATTTTCTTATACCTATATCCTATGCCGGTGATCGGATTTCTTCGTGTAGCAAATGTAGATATGGATCACAAATAGTATCTTATGAGGCAAACAATGTATACATTTCACCGCTTCCCCTTTGAAATCGACTACTGTCGATATACGTTAACAAACCAAACAATTATCTAAAGCTCTTTTCTCTATAAGAGATGAAAACATTCTTTAATTCACTTTTTTCGATCGTAGTTTTGAGTTTACATAAAGTTTAGCTACAACATATAAAATGTTCTCCAAAATAGTCAACAATTTATTCTTAAAGAAAACCCTGTAATAAAAAAATATTACACTGTATTACATTTCTAGGTTGCCATGCGTGAATGAATCAACAGACAACAAGTAGGTAGTAAAATATATTACTGTATACAAAATAATGAATACATTATTTTGTTAATTGCAATTAAAAGAACACTGATAGAGGCATAGAGCAATGAATGTATTTTAATCATATTGAAAATATAGTAAAAAATAATTCAAACAAGTCCACATACGGGTACTAAACAATACAAAGGATGAGTACAAAATAATCTAAAATCAATTTTATGTTAAAAGCAAAAGAATATTTTTTGTTAGCTGATTAATAATGTATGACAATGTGTCAAGCTTAAAACATGTTAGCGTATGAATAAGAAAACAACTTTTCTTTATTATTCAGAATTATAATTAAAAATGAATACACACTTATTATTAATTGTGTCTCCGACCACTACATATTTATACTTAAAATGCTTTACCACAAAACTCCATGTTAATTTTTCTCGGCCCTCGTGGTGCATAGTGTAAATTGTGGAATTAGAGTACTTTTAATTTTTATGACAACTACCTTTTTAAAGTACCTGTAAAATATATTACAGGAATTCTACTTATTTTGAATCGTTTAGCAATTATTATTTATACAAAAGTTAGAAAATTTTACAAATTGATACTGAAATGTCTGAATTTTGATTTAACGGGCATACATTTTCTTTAATGACGAATGAGGCATATTTTGAAGTCAACTATAACGCACACAAATGCAGATATTCCTAAATTAAACACTAAATTGATACATAAGCATCTTAGCAATGATAAGTACATATTCATGTCTCAGCTGTGTCCAGTCGAATGTAGATAGGTTAAT